TAAATAATGACATTGATGGAAATAATTTCAGCAACTGATACTCGAAGGGAAAATAGAGGGTAGGAGAGGTCTCGGACGTAAAAAAATGTCATGGCTGCGCAATATTCGACAATGGACAGGAATCCACAGCTATGAAATGCTTCGCAATGCTGCTAAAAACAGAATTATTTAAACCAGAATATTTAACAGCTCACCTGACAAGACGATGTACGGTGGACGCCTACGCAGAAATGCACGGCACCTTAAGAAGAAGAAGAAGATGGAAATAATAGACTTAAAATGGGATGGATAAAATGGAAAAACCGAGTTGTATTAGAGAAAAATTCAACTTAACTGAAAAGAAAATTCTATACCGCCGTTAGACCAGATATCACGTACTGAATGAATAAAGTAACAAAGTTATAAAATTAAGAATAAATTTATAAGCGGAAGTGTCCATGTGGTCAATGGGTGCGTAGATAAGAGGGCATAGGTAAAAATACTAATTATAATCGAAAATCCTTCTTATTACTTTTTTTTTTATTTTATTTAATAACATATGTTAGCTTGTATAAACAAAATATTTTTTGTGGGGAATGCCCATTACTATTCTTCTAAAACTATTCTTTAGTTTCTAGTTTCTTTTATTTTAGTTTCCAATGAAATTCTTCTAACTATTTGGTAGGGTTATTTCCGATTTTTTAATAATCTTTTGTTGATAAATCGCCAAATATAAAATAAACTTTTTATTTGATGTTTCGTCTTTCAGATCAAAAGACCTTTTCAAATACAATTTTAAAATTAAACAGTTGCAATATTGGTTAAAATTTTGGCACTGTAACTGACGGTTTGCTAGTAGATTAGCGATTATTAAAATGTGATAATACAAAAGATTAAATTTCCAGAAACAAATTTTAATTTTGTAAATATGATACGCAAAAAAAATATATTAGAGTTCGTGATTAAAATAAAGATAAAATTTGGACATTTTGGTTAACAAACCGCTTATTGATTATGACTAAAAATTGCAATAATCAAAAAGACACATGACTAAGGATATACCTATCAACAGAAACAATCAAGAATGACAAAATTTAAAAGAACAATTAATAAGGGAGTATGAAAAAGACGATACAACTTCGAACTTTATAGAGAATACCAGAAACCAGATATCGTATACCATATTAAGCAGAACGTCTGATATGGATAGGGCATGTAATGTGGATAGAACAAAATGACCCAGCTAAAAAAACGCTTCTTAATAGACCCATTGGCCAGAGAAGAAGAGCAAGACCCAGAACAAAGTTCCTTGATAACATCGATGAAGTCATGAGAGATATGGAAATATGAGCTTGGCGGAGAAAGACAATGGATAGGGACGACTTGAGAGAAATGTTTGAGAAGGTTAGGACCCACGCAGTATTGTAAAGCCAGAGCGATGATGCTAAACGGACCTAGAATATTTACTTTGACTATGAAACCTAATATTTTAGAAAAAATTGTTTAAAATTCTTTATAAAAGGTATATAAAAAATGCCCCGAACGGGCTATCACAAACACATTGCAAAACGTTTTCGGATTGATAAATCCATCATCAGTGCAAACCTGAAAGTATATAACCACTTTAATTAAAAAGAACGTTAAATTAAAATGTTGACAAAGGTTAGAGCAAAATGTGGTTAATACTTACGGTTGTATATGCTAGTAGCCACCAAAATATATGGGTCAAAACCCTTTAAATGTTTTAAATTTGTAGTTGTTTTACATTATTAATAGTTACAATTTGTGATGTTTAAGTTACCGTTGGATAGGTAACGTGGCGGCGTATGGCTCTACATGAGTAAAATGGTCCTGAGACGAAGTGTCTACGAGGACCTGTTGATAACAACTGATCAAAATGACACTGTTGACATGTTAGGACGGATGTTGTGTCAGAGCAGTCAGTGTAACTTACGGTAGTTGTCTAAAAATGACAGATGTCAGCCTTATTTGAAATTGAAAAAAGTTAAAATTATAATAATGTAACAGTATCAACCATCAATATTGTAATCTGTATTGTAAATTAATCAAATAGCTATATTTGAAACAATGAAAATTGGTTTTTTTAAAAATTAATGTGGCTAGATATTTAAACGCAATTACTTGTTCTATTATCTGACCTTCCAGCTAAAATTTACATCTTAGTAAATTTGTTGTTGTAACCATGCATTTTGTCTTTTTTGGGGCAATTAACATGTTACGTTTTCTGGCGGTTATATTAAATTGGCAGCGGACGTCTTTCATCATCTTCATTTTGAGAGAGTAGTATTGCGTCGTCTGCAGAACAGATTATTTTAAGTTGTTTTTCTCCCATTTGGTATCCATTTATTGACAGAAGATAAAATGGAAATAATAACAAAGCAATCAAAAACCAATATTTAAATCAATTTTATCAATTTTTTAAAAATGTTATTTTTGCCGACGAAGTCACTATCATTACAAAATGGAGCACAATCACAAAGTGGTATCCAGTTAAATGGGTGTCTTTTATATTACGTCAGAACTGTGAAGCAAATGGCTAAATGAAAACTTTTAAAACCGTTGGATAGACCGTAATAGTCTATTGATAGATGAGCTACCCAGATATCCAGACCTCACAATTTTATACTTTTTTCTGGGGAGGCATGTAACACAGTTTTACCAAACCCAATAGACATATATGAACTTGGTGCAAGAATTCGACAAGCAGGTGCATAAATTACTCACTAACAACTAATAGTCCAGTCTTTGTAAAGAATGCCAATTATCGGACAGCAAAAACGTTGCAAAAGACTATATTGCTTCTTCATTTGGGCTTCACCCTAAACCCCCTTTGTAAAGAATGAGAATCGGAAAGATCGATTTACCAAAAATCTTTAGGCCGTAGAAAAAAATGTTCAAGAAAAAAATGTAGAGGAAATAACTTTAAGCAAAAACATTTATAAGAACTTTTTATGTAGAATGAACTATTTCAGAATTGAACTTCTTGTACTGATAATGTGTATGGATTGATATACGAAACATATTCATTATATAATGAAGTAGCAAGATTCTTTTGTTTTTTTCTCCACTTTTGTGACCAATAACACTCCGGCAAATATTCTTGTGGATTACATAATCAGATGAAATATATGAAAGTAGAAAAATCAGAGAAATTAGGAATTATCTCATATATTACTTATGTTAATGTAAATTAAGCTCTATTCTGTAGGGCTTAATTTACATTAACATTAAATAATATACGAATCAATATATAACAGATGGAAAGTTATTAATAATTTACGTAACGCTGATGATATAGTATTAATTGCGTAAAGTTAGAGGAATAATAAATAAAAATAAGTGGGTCACTACAAGTATCTAGACATAAAGGAGAAGAAAAAAAAACGATTCACTAATAAAGATATGTATAACACTAAAATTTAAAACAAGTTTATTACAATGGTTATAACCGTTTGTAATGTATTTTTTACACCTTTGTGTGACCTTGAAGCATGGACGCTAAAAAATGAGATAAAAAAGACATTTCAGATTTTCGAGAGCTGGCGTTCTCCTTCAACTTCTTCCACATATTCAGGTCTTGACCACTATTTATCCTGTTGCTCTTTATCTTCTTTATATCGTTGCTTCATCTGGTTGGTAGTCTACCTTTACTTCTTTTATCCTCCCTGGGTCTCCACATTATTAGTCATCGGTTCTCTTTATTCGGGCTATGTAACCTGTTCATATCCATTGATATGTTGTAAAATATCAACTATTTTCTTTTTTTGTCTTATGTCGGCGTTCGGTATTCTATCTTTCCTGGTGACTCCCAATACCGCTCTCTCCATTCTCTTTGCGCCATTCTCAGTTTTTTTATTGAACATTTTATCAAATTTAATATTTATATAAAACATATTTCTTATAAAAATAGGAAGACTAAGATAGGCAAGACATCTGGCAAGGTCACAGCAGAATAACCCTCCTAGAAGAATCCTTTTGTCACAACCTGTGGGAAGTAGAAGTAGGGGTAGGCCAAAACTCAGATGGAGGGATGATGTAGATGAGGATGGTAGAAAAATAGGCGCAGCAAACTGGCAACAATTGGCAATGGATAGAACTGACTGGCGTAATAGACTTGGGAAGGTCGAGGCTCTTCTATAGGGCTGTAGCACCAATGATGGTGATGATGATGACAAAACATATTACTCGTAGAATAATTATTTGAAACAAATAGAAATGTTCGACTTAAATAATCTCTCAGCTTCTCAAAAGCCGCCCGGCACAGGATACATCTAGCAAGTTTGACTATCATTACCAATTGTTAACCCCCCTAAAATGACCGTTTTTCCTGAATCCATTTCTAAAATCAGCCTGCTCGCGAGCTTGATAAAAGTCTAATTTAGGGTCTATGAGTTTGGTTATGATTTTGGTAAATAGTTTGTAAAGATGTGAAAGAGGGCAAATTACCCTGCAGTTGTCGAGATTTATAATATCTCTTTTTTTGTGGATAATAATGATAATTGCATTGCTTCTTGTACTTGATAATAAACTGTTTTCTAAGCATAGACCGAATAGGAAAATTATTTCTTGTATTAATACTTCGATCCCCATTGTGGCAGCTTCTATCACAATTTGGTCTTCTCTAGGAGATTTGTTCTTCTCTATTTATTTTATATCGTTTCTTGCTTATTCACTTATTATATCCGACATTTCATCAGACTCTAAATTCACTGCTTAACTTCTTTGTTAGGTTAATATCTGATGGTTATAACCAGCTTTTTATATAATTGTTTTGGTTATGTACTACAAAGTATTGAAAATAATAGTTAAAAAGCAAATAGTAATCAAAACATAGAAAAATGAAAAGAAATAATATAATTATTACTTTTACTACTAGAGAAGATGGAAAAATATGGATGTATAACTAGTATAATGTAAATAAATATTTTTAACCAAAACGTTAGGTATACGAAATTCAACGACATAAATTGTAAAAACCATTATTTTTGTACTATACTTACAGTAAATACTTCATTCTCCAAATTTCTTATTTGATTATGAGATATATCCAAGAGTTCAACTACTGGAGGTACACCGATTTCAACAGTAACAAGTTTTTTATCTTGACATGTAGCTCGTCTATAATCATTGAAAACATCACAGGTACAATAGTCTGGACACTCAAATTGAATTACTGCAGCTTTTGCATTAAACAACAAAATAAAAAAGAAAATATATCTAAAACCCATGATTCATATACCTATACAAGCAGAAATGACTAAATATATATGATGTTTGGTTAAAACAACTGAACCTGTGTTAGGTGTATCGTTATTTTTGTTATAGTATCAAACAAATGATTTGATAAAAATGATAAGATAAGAAAAACAGGAAAATTGATAAAGATTATTTTATTTAGATTTAGATTTAAATTTCAAACCTAATATTAGAACTATGTGCAATCAAAATCATATTTTATACAGGATGAGAACGGAACAAAGGCATTATTAGGAGTTACAACTTTTTGGAAACCCAGTATAAGGGAAATGAGTATATATTAAAAACTGCAAGCATAAACAACATAAAAAAAACAGTAAACAACTGAAACACAATAAAATAGCAAATTAAGAAAGCAGCAGTACATATTATACTGGGACGTTAATGATATTGGGTGTAACCAATCTGATGGAAACTGCACCATATAGTCAGTCAGTAATTAGTATATGGTATAATATAGAGGTATTACGTTAAAATTAAATTATACTTACAATAAACTAAAGGTTTGATGAAAGTATAATTTAATCACTTACAACCATTGCTTTGTTTTACTGGTGTTGATTTTAATACCAAAGGATTCGTCCTCTTCTGCTGCTACTTCTAGGAGTCATTGAAGCCCCTTCGGGGTATCCTCCAGGATGACAATATTATCGACATCTTATCTTGTTGATAAGGCTTTCGTTAACTTTAATGCCTTCATCGATGTTTTCCAGTGTTATTTGGAATATTTTACAATAAAGGTTCAAGAAAAAAGGTGACAGAATATACCCGTTGTCACAGGAATTCGCTTAATTTAAGCCAAGTGTCTGTTTCGATACAGATGTTTAATAAAATTGACATCTTGTTGGCTTATCCCTGGTCTCTTAAGCAGGTTAATGGGTTTGGTATATTTTACTAGGTTAAACGCCTTTTGACTGTAAGCCCAAAGAGAGCATCTCTTATGTATATTGATTGGTAAATAACTTTTAAGATAACTTTGAGTGCATGGCATTAGGGTGATTAATCTAAAGTGTTAGCATTTATTGGGAATTGGAATTGGAATAAATAGAGAGTTACTGTTTCATATAGTTTGATAACTAGTTGATGTAGTTTATTTAGGTTTTCTTTGTCCATCGTCTAAAGTCCATCGAGTTTTAACATTTCTAAATATATGTTATCAGGATACATGCCACTTTTTCAGATTTGGCTAGTTTTATTGCATGATATATTTTGGACTTTAATATATTGAGTAGGAGTGGCACTCCTAATAGAACGAATAAGTTTTCTAATGAATCAATGCTGCCAACAAATTAAAGTACAATCTTAATGGAAAACCGCTCACCAAGTGTCTATCTTTAAAAAGGGTAATCATAAAGATCCTAACTGCTACAGAGGATTAAGTGTCCTACCTAGTTTCTGGAGATTGTTTGGAAAGATAATAAATGGAAAAATACAAGATCATGTAGGACATCTAATTAGCGAAGACCAAAGTGGATTTACGACTGGTAGATCTTGATACGCACTGATAACTTGTTTATACTCCTACAATTAATAGAAAAAAGAATAGCGGTTGGTACCGAAGTACATCTAGCCTTTATCGACCTAGAATGGCGTATGATACAGTTCCAAGACTTAAACTGTGGCAAGCCTAACAAATAATCACAGAAGTATACAGGGATAACACTACTTACCTAAATATTGGAAATAGACTCTCAGAGCCATTAAGAGTAACTAAAAAACTAAGATAAGGATGCAGTATATCGCCCTTACTGTTTAATTTATATATTGAGGCAGCCCTCCAAAATTGGAAAAACCATTGCAAGGGAATGGGAATCCCCATAGGAAATGACGTTCTCCCTGAACTTTGTGGATGACCAAGTCGTCCTAGCTCAAGATTCTTATGATCTAAAATTTATGATAAAGCGTCTATACAAGGAATGCATATATCAGCATGAAGATAACAGAATATTTAGTTACACAGTCAGAAGGATTGAAGTGTTGATAGACGAGAACATAGAAATCAAATAAGTAGAAAAATTTAAGTATTTAGGTGCACTTATTGATAAGAACGGTTTGTCAGAAACCGAAATTAAATACCGAATTAATCAGGGAAGTAAAATTGTAGAATGTCTAAACTTACTATTGTCCGATCGCAACATTTTCAAAAGGAACAAAAAAATAATAGGGCAAACCATGGTTGAATCAGTTCTTTGTTATGGCTCTGAAGTATGGACATATAATGCAGACCTGAAGAGAAGATTGTTGGCAGTTGAAATGGATTATTTGACAACAGAATAGAAAGAAGAGGTTTAAATGGTTTGGACACCTATTGAGAATGCCTAACGACCGTTGGCTCCAAAAACTTCACAGATGGAAGCCCCTAGAAGAAGAAAAATAGGTAGACCTCGACACTCATGGAATGAAGGAATTAGAATAGCTATGGAATCGAGAGGTTTGGAGGAGGAGCATGCCTTGGATTGGGAGGATTGGCAGAGGCGAACAGAAATACGGCGATTGCCGTCTCCAAAATGTATTTGGATGCTGTAATATATATATATATATATATATATATATATATATATATATATATATATATATATATATATTATATTGAGTAAGTTTCTTTTCTTCTCTTAACTGTTTTTTTAAGACATAGACATAAGTCATTCAACCAGTTCCAATAGATTCTCTAATCAGAAATATACACAATCCTATCCCTAATACAAAATTAACGAAAATCTGTTAGAAGAATGGAAAAAAGAAAGAAAGGAAACATGCGGGGTCACTTGCTTCTCGTCTGCGGTCGGTAAGAAATTTTAAGTAGACAAACAATACTTTACCACGGATCCACACGATCATGAAAAATTGCATGCTTGAGTACAAATCTTAAAGAACCGTGCATATGACAAGAAATTTATAATGTTATTGTATATTCTGACTAGAAAGTTATAATGATATTGTATGTTTATTGTAAGTCTAAAGCCAGCAGAGACTGGATATTGAATAGTCCATACATAGTGAACAAATTTGATTAATTTTTTTTAGAATGAGTTTGAATGTTGTTGAAACTTAATATTAAAAAAAGATATAACCTAGATCATATCAGAAAGATAACCTAGATTATGTCATTCTAAGAGACCCCGTAGTTCGTCAGAACAAAAGAGATGTAATGAGAGAAAAACTAGAAACCGCTAAACAACAGGAACAGAGTGTAGAACAAAAATGGAATTATATTAACGACGTCATGCAAAATGCGGGAAAAGAACTTTTGGATAAGAAAACAAGAGTAAAAAATAAAGAATGGATAACTGATGACATTCTGCAGATAATGGATAAAAGAAGATTAGTGAAAAATAGGGACGCAAAGAAAAACCAAGAAATCAACCAAAAAATTAAAAAAGAAATACGAAGAGTCAAAGAAACATGGATGCAAGAAAAATGTAAACTAATCGAAGAGCTTTAAGTGAAACACGATCATATAAATATTTACCGAAATATTCGAGAAGCTATTGGTCAATACAAGAGGAGAAACACACACCTTCTCATAAACAAAGTCGGGAACCTAGCGACGATAGTTAAGGAAAAGTTGGTGACCTGTAAAATGTACATCGAAGAATTTTTTTGGGCCTACCGAGGTAACCTTCCAGAAATAAATTGCATGACAGGGGGGTCAATACCAGAAAGCGAGGTGAAAGCAGCTTTAAAACAGTCTAAGAATGGTAGGCCACAGGTACAGACGATATACCTAGCTGTTAAACTTATTAAGGTGATGAGTAAATTGGGCATAAAGAAGTTAACTGAACTGTTTAACGTCATATACGGTTTAGGTAATATCCCAGAGGAATGGCTATTGTCAACATTTGTAACACTATCAAAAAACCGATCTGCGAAAACGTGTGAAGATTTTAGAACTATCAGCGAAATGAGACATGCGCTTAAGATTTTTATTAAAATCATACATGCCAGAATTTACAAGAAATGTGAAGAAAATGTTGGTGAAATGCAATTTGGATTCCGCAATTTCATGGGTACACGTAAAGCACTTTTTACCTTAGAAGTCCTACTTGTCGATGTCAGTTGTGATGTATATATTTGTTTTATTAACTACGCTAAGCATTTGACCGTTGTCAGCATCAGAAGATGTTCGCCGCCCTACAAACAGTAGGATTAGATGAGAAAAACATTCAGATCATCACGAATTTATACTGGAACCAGCGTGCACATGTCAACGTTAAACACCAGCTGACCGACCAAGTGAAGATTATGCGAGGAGTAAGGCAAAGCTGTATGCTCTCACAGATTTTTTTTAATAAATACTTTAGGAAATTTTTACTAAAGCCCTCACAAACCTAGAGATGGGAATCCGAGTGAACGGTGAATGCATCAATAACATCCGCCACGTCGATGACACTGTGTTACTAGCAACTAGCCTACATGATCTACAAGCCTTAAGCTATGGTTTGTTAGAACAGTGAGCGACGCATAACTCACAGTTAGTCGAACGCCGTACACGTTCGTCAAAATCAAAGAAATGGTCAAAAACGGTTTGTTAGATTCTGCTTAGCTACGCTTACTGCAGACCGATAGCCGTGTACGTCGACAGTGTGCGCTGGAATCAACTGCGATTTGATTTGGACGCAAACGTTCAGTTGAGCTGACAGCGTACACATATATACCGAAATTATAATTGTATTTTTATATAGTTATTAATATTGTAATAATTAAGTGATGTATACTAAATTTTTTCCCGATGAAGATGACAGACTAGTGGATCTAGTACAAATTGTAAGGCAGTTTCAAATAAATCCCTGGAAAGTCTAAGATATTCTCGAAATTTTTCTTCGTTTTGAAACAATCTTTCTTCGACTCTTAATTTAAAAACACCTTCTGTACTAAGACATGAAAAAATTTTGTTTACATTTTTATTTCTTTTATTTAAATTTAACGTTATCAACTCTTCTTCTTCCTCCTCTTCTTGGAGTAATAAAATGTATGCATTAAGTTTGCGAGAATTCATTTTTTTTTAATGTACAATCTCTAAACCAATTGCTAAACTTGTTTTCAGAGCGA